GAAACTAAAAGCCAGTTTTAGAAAAAAAAAAAATTCCAAAAAGTAGGCCTTCCAAATGTGCCAAATTTTTTTATCAATCCAGTCCAACATTCGTGTGCGCAGGTCGCGCTCGAATACGAGTTCAATGTCCGAAGCCTATTTTGATCCGTGATTTGCGCGAGCACGTGCAGAGAATCGTGCATAGAGCCTCTATGTTACACATGATCACACCATTCCAAAGTGTAATCCTATATAAATTGGTTTTTGCTTTCCTTATTTTCTTATGTGGGATAATCATTAATTGGTTTCCTTCTAACATATATATTTCTGTCAATTGGCACACTTTGAGCTCCGATTTCTCATTCACCCGAATATTATTTTTGGCAAGTAAATATATGATTTCGATATTCTCATGGAGGAGAACACAAAGAGAATGAAGAAGAAATAAATAACAAGAAAATCAGATGAAGGCTTCAAATGATATCCTGCAAGTGATTAACCTATGCGACCACATAAGTTTGTTTTATACGGTCGCGTACAACTAAAGAGTAGCTGTTAAGGTATGTTTTGTTTGAATTCTTGATGGCTTTTGGTGAAAAGCTTGTAACTTTCATGGTTTTCTGGTACTATTTCATGGGCGTTGATTGAAATCTATAAATACATTATAAATTATTGCATCACAACAACTCACGATCAAATCTTCGTTCCAAAAAAAGAATTTATATTCTTTCATTCGCATTCAAATTTCCTTCAAAGTGTTCTTGAAGTTTTAGTAGAAAACACCAAGTGTTTAAGTGTTTTTTCTATTGCAAGGCTTTATTAATCCTTCAAATCAATTTTTAATATCCCTTTAAACATTAAATTTTATTCGAGAGGGAGTAAATATTGTTTGAGGACAACAAACTTTATGTTTAAGCCTTGATGTTTTATTCTTTTGTTCTTGTTTTTTGTTCTTTGTTTCTTCTTCATCCCCACTATGTGGAAATATTTTTACAACATCTAGTTTAATTGATCAAAAGCCTACTGAATCTGAATTACACAAAAGCTTAGGGGCTATTCTCTTCATATTTTAGTTTTTAGTTTTGAGTTTTGAATTTTATGTTTTGAGTGTCTGTTTTGAAATTGCTGAAAATACGTTCTTTTTGTCATTTTAGAAAACTGTTTTGTCAAAATAGAAAATTGGAAAATGCAATTACTTTGAAATTTTTAGAATCTTTTTTATAATATTTTATTCAAGAAATCTGATAATTCAATAAATATTAATAGTGTCAAAATAGAAAATTGGAAAATGCGTTTACTTTGAAATTTTGAGAATCTTTTTTATAATATTTTATTCAAAAAATCCGATTATTCAATAAATTTTAATAGTTTAATGTTAATATAGTATAAAATAACATATAAATTTTGAAGTTGGTGAGTCTTGAAATATTTTTTTCCAAATATAAAAAACACAACCTAAATTAAATTTGGCAAAACAGTTCAATAGATACAATTAGAAGTTTTCGTGTTATGGAAAAATAAGCAGACACTAAACAAAATATAAAATAAATCAACCAAATCATGTACAACGTCTTGAGTAGTCATTTCACATTTGTGAAGCAATTTGATCCCTAACTTGTCACATTTGAACTGTTTGCCTAGCATCAAAATATATGACTTGATCTTGACCGGTATATCTTGAAACAACATATTCTCCTTTGAATACTCAGCGAACAACGTATCTAAAGCGTGCTCCTGATGAATAAAGTTGTTTATTGCGCAACAAGCAGTAGCGATTTGTCTTTGCCTACTAAGTGGATAATTGGTAATCAATTTCAAAATAGGAAATCTTGTATTTAAAACTCCATTGCAATTTTCAATAATGTTACGGTACGAGGAGTGTCTAAAGTTGAACAATTCTTCATTCCCACGTAATCTTCCCCATCCAACATAGTCACGCATATGATGATGCAAATGATTGTGGAGGTTCTAAATCCAAAGTAATGATCTACTTCCTTCGTTGCCGAACTATCCGGCATGAAAAAAGGCAGTTTCACTATATTGATTGACTTATGGTGTAACTCAACCTTTTACAACGCTTCTGGTAACTTACAAACAAGGTTCACTGATCCTAATACAATGTTGAGCTTTATGAAACATCAACATGACCCACAAAGTTAAAGGAAGTTGATTTTACAATTTGAAACTTCTCTCTTAATAAATGATACGATCAAATTAAGTATTAAGAGAGAAATAAGCTAACACTTTAATAATAAAAATGAATGAAGCTCAAGTGTTAAGTGAGAAGAACTTTGATGAGTAGAATGATTTTTAAAAGTTAATTCAATCAAAAGTTTTTTAAAGTAAATGATTTGATAAAGACAAATAATATGTAAGATCAATATAATTTTACTCAAAAATATCTCACTTAAATACTTTTAAAAGTATTATATTGAATGCAAAGTGAAATTGCATTTATAGCAGTTAAAAACCAAAATTTCTAACCAAATGGATGACCCATCCAGACATCCGCATATTGAATTGGACAACCAACTAGCAATTGTGCATCAAAATCCAAAAAGGTTAAAAATGTGACCGTTAGATGAACCGGATGTCCGCTTAGACGGTGTTTTCCTTGATTTTTCTTTCTTGATTGTTTTGAAAAATGTGAGTTTTTAAAGGATGTTTTCACTTAATTTTTTAAGATAAGTGACACTTGTACAAAGTTTAAATATCAAGTTGAAATTCTTACATGTTGAAAAATAATTTCGAAAAAAGCGTTTTTATGAAGTAACTTTTCTTGTGCATAAAAATTCATTTTTTGAGCTTTTGATGATTTATTGCTCAGGAATAAAACATTTTACTTTTACATATGAACCCAAAACATTTAAATCTAATATCTGTAATCGATTTGAGGTGAATGCTCGATTTGTTCTTGTCTTTGATTGATTTGACGTGAATGTTTGGCTTCCATCTCGATTTTCATTGATTGTCAAATGTGAATATTTTGGTAGTGATTTTTTTGTCTCCAATTAATCAACTTTACAACAATAGCTATGAAAACTCGAATTCAATTGTTAAAGATAAAAAATAATTTATTTGTTATAATCAAAACATAAAGTCAACTATAGGTCAACAGCTACAGCCTTTGTTATTACTATTATGGGTAATTGGCGTAAAACGTCCATACCTATGATGGGTTCTGTCGAAAACATCCATACGTTTGATTTTTTGGTGCAGAACGTCCCTACCTTTGCATTTTCTTGCGCAAAACGTCCTTTTCACCCATTTTTAACATAAAATGACAATTATACCCTCCTATATAAATAAAACAAAAAATAAAAGAGAAGCAAAATAAAGAATAAATTGCAATCTACTCCTANTTGCAATCTGCTCCTAAATTTTTTTTAAAAATACAAATCAATCCAAACTTATAAAAATATTAAAATTAACAAAAACTCTCACTCTCTCTTCTCCTCCACCCCTTCCGCCTTCTCCACCCCGCTAATGCCGTCGCCACCACGCCGAAACCCTAAACCATTCCATCCCTCATCCTTTTTTCTCAAAGATGAGGCTGAAAAAAAGGGCAAAAAACATTTCTTTTTGAAATTAACCCCCAAGCTTCTCAGTACCCATCAGAAGTTGACAATGCAAAAACAGATATTCCTAGCTAGACATTTTATCAAACAGCAAAGATGCATCCCACAAATCACAGGGTGAAGTTGAAATTTCAAAGGTGTCGCAACCACAGGATGATGAACAACAACGCCCATTGCCACCACCACCATTCATGCAACACAAAAGGGCCGCCTCGTACCACCAAAGATCAAATTCCATCGCCTCATCACACAGCAAATTATCATCAAGCAAGAGCATGAGAGTGCTCAGAAATGCGATTTCATCGCGGAAGGAGGAAAAAAAAGAAAAGACATTAAATCATGAAGATTTAGTTTGGAAGAAAACAATAATTTTAGGAGAAAAATGTAGGGTTCCACAAGATGATGACATAATTCTTTATGATGAAAAGGGGAATAGAATCTCAACTTATCATTAAAAACCCCATCCAATGCTTTCTCGATGTCCAGGCAAAATTCAGGAATAAATTCAGATGCAGTTCCAACATAAATATTAGATTGTGCAACTTTTTTCAGCGGCTTTTCTCTTAATTTTAATATTTTTATAAGTTTGGATTGATTTGTATTTTTAAAAAAAGTTTAGGAGCAGATAGCAATTTATTCTTTATTTTTATTTTCTTTTATTTTTTCTTTTATTTATATAGGAGGATATAATTGTCATTTTATGTTAAAAATGGGTGAAAATGACGTTTTGTGCAAGAAAATGCAAAGGTAGGGACGTTCTGCACCAAAAAATCAAATGTAGGGACGTTTTCCACATAACTCGTCATAGGTAGGGACATTTTGCGCCAATTACCCTTACTATTATATATATCTAATTCTTCCATATAAATATAGAACTTTGATTCTCAATAAAATACATAAGTTTATTGACTTTTCTCTATTCTCCTCTCTTTTTGCCCAGTTCATAACATTAAAAATATTTTTGGATAAAAAATGATTTAAGGACAAGATTTTCTAATTAATAAAATGTTAAAATAAGGATATGATGAGATAAAAGTTAATATTGTAAGTGTATTAATGAATAAGGGTTAATGATCTTAATTATAAGATAGTGTATTTTTTATTTAAAAAATTGTGGTGTAAATCCGAAAGAAAAAACACAATTATTTTAAGGTCCAGTGCTTGTTTGGTAGGAATTTTTGGGGGAAGAATAGATTTTTAATAGTGATATGATGAGAAATGTGTGGTTGAAAAAGAAAAAAATTATTGATATAATAAAAAATATTATTTTATTAAAAAACGTGCAGTGGAAAATGAATTACCGCTGGTCATTGCTGCTCATTATTTTCAGTCAAAACAAAAAGTTACAGCAACAAATAATCCATTCAAAAACCCTCCATTTCAATCATTATTATCTCCTCCTTTCCTTTGCGACGGATAAATAATTGGGATTTTCCAGTTTCCATGGAACCGCCGGGAGAAAACGCCTCCGCCGCCGTGACATTTGATTTAGCCGAGAAAATAGTCCTCCGATGGGACTCAACGATGTCGGAGAATGCCCGTGATGACATGATATTTGAAGGTGATCGCCACGAGATTGACCGGTATCTGCAAGCCGTCGACGAAATCCAGAAGTCCATGGAATCGATCACCGTGTCGGAATCTTCCTCTTCCGCCCTCCAGATCGCCATGGCACGCCTGGAAGACGAGTTCCGTAACATCCTCCTCTCCCACACTAATCCTGTTGAAACGGAGTTTTTGATTGATCCAACAAGTTCATCGATCCAATCCGCCGGTACTTCCCGAACCAACAGCATCGAGTTCAATTCCAAGTCAATCGAAGAGGAATTAAAGGAAGGTAATATTGGTAATATCGTAATAGAGGGAAGTGTTGTTAAACTCTTGGAGCATCAGGAAAGCAGCAGCAGCACCGGTAGCAGTACGTACAAATCAACCAGCAGCATCCGCGAGATAGATCTCATCCCAAGCGACGCAATCTATGATCTTAGGTGCATCGCAGAGCGGATGATTGCTGCAGGGTATCTACGCGAGTGTATTCAAGTGTATGGGAGTGTAAGAAAGTCTGCTGTAGACGCCAACTTCAATAGGCTTGGAATCGAGAAATTAAACATTGGTGATATTCAAAGACTCGAGTGGGAGGTTCTAGAGGCGAAGATCCGCAGGTGGATTCGCTCAGCCAGAATCTGCGTTCGTGTACTTTTTGCCAGCGAAAAGAGGCTGTGCGAGCAAATCTTTGAAGATTTAGGAACCTCGACTAACGATGCTTGTTTTATGGAGACCATTAAAGGTCCCACGATACAGTTGTTCAATTTCGTGGATGCGATTAGCATCAGTCGGCGATCACCAGAGAAATTGTTCAAGATATTGGATCTTCATGATGCATTGATGGATTTGATGCCGGATATTGAGGTAGTCTTCGAGTCCAAATCTAGTGAATCGATCAGTGTTCAAGCTGTTGAGATAGTATCTAGGTTGGCTGAGGCTGCCAGAGGGATACTGTCAGAATTTGAGAATGCAGTGCTCCGGGAGCCGTCGAGAGTGCCAGTCCCGGGAGGGACAATTCATCCTTTGACTAGATATGTGATGAATTATATTAGTTTGATTTCAGATTATAAACAGACTTTGATCGAACTGATAGTGTCTAAACCATCGACTGTTTCGAGGTATTCCAGTGATCCTCCTAATATGCCGGATATGGATTTTTCCGAGGTAGAAAAGCAGGCTCTCCCCTTGGCGCTTCATTTGATTTGGATCATTATGATTTTGCAGTTTAATTTGGAGGGTAAGTCGAAGCATTACAAGGATGCTTCCTTAGCTCACTTGTTTATGATGAATAATGTTCATTATATTGTCCAGAAGATTAAAGGGTCTGTTGAGTTGAGGCAAATGATTGGGGACGATTATTTGAAAAGGTTGACCGGAAAACTCAGGCAATCCGCGACTAATTACCAGAGGTCAACGTGGGTGAGGGTATTGCATTGTTTGAGGGACGAGGGTCTGCATACGAGTGGGGGTTTTTCATCTGGTGTGTCGAAGAGTGCTTTGAGAGAAAGGTTCAAGTCGTTCAATGCTATGTTTGAAGAGGTGTTTAGGACTCAAGCCACGTGGTTGGTACCGGATACTCAACTCCGGGAGGAGCTTCGTATTTCCATAATGGAGAAGCTTATCCCGGCTTATAGATCGTTTCTTGGACGATTCAGAAGCCATATTGAGAGTGGGAGGCACCCTGAAAATTATATCAAGTACTCAGTGGAGGACCTTGAGAACGCAGTCTTGGATTTCTTTGAAGGACACCCTGTTTCCCAGCATTTGAGGAGGAGATCTGAGTGATTTTTGCCACTTTAGACAATTATAGGACATTATTCTTTGAATTTTTTGTAGGGTGCTATGGAATTAGGCTCTGGTTGTTATGGGGATTTAACCGATGATGCAAACGTCTAATTTTTTTCTGTGGACTAAAGAAGTTATCAATGAGTTGTAATTCTCCAGAGCTGACATTGGCTCTATTCCTGAATGCTTCTGCTGCCCTGTAAGCAATGTGTTGTCTGTACCTTTCTAAGTTTTCTAAATACATTTTGTTTCATTTGTTCACAAGGAAATTATTGTATTTGTTACTATTGTCAGAAAAAAGAGTAGATTATTAGATGACTTCCAAAAACATGAAACTAATAGTCTTTCTTCTTGTCTTGTTGCCTAGTCTATGGAGATTACTCTCTTCCATTGAAAATGGAACTATAGAGCTGAAATAATAAACGATTCCGGTCCTTAACACTGATTTTGATAGTTATGGAGTTTAGGATGTACGTATTAATAACGTAAAATATTATTAATAGGATGAGCTATGAATGATTCTGCAGAACTTCATTCATCCCAGTTGTGAACCACCTTTTTTTAGAAAAGTTGTGCGGGATTGAAAGCATGGACCAAAAGTTGTAATTTCAGACAGACCAGAATGCTTTGTTTTCTTGGTCAAAGAAAAAGATTTGTAGTCTATGTCCGAGGGAGGCTGAAGTTTATGTTTATGTATGGTTCCTTTGATCTTCGACTACTAAGACTCTTGGCAATTTTATTCATTTACATTTGTTGAGACTACTGATTTGAATTAATTTGACTTTATTCAAAAAGTCAAGTGAGGGACGCTTGCCCTGGCTGGGGGTTGTTCCAGCGTTACGAAAGCTCACAAAAATAATACTGAAGCACTAGTATACATGCAACAGTTCCAGGAAATAAATAAAAATAAAAACACGAAATCACAACGTACGATACTACAAGGTTAGTTCGTTTTACACCTACATGGCAATTATGCAAGGAGTTATAGAAAGTAACAGATGGGAAAAATGAATAATCAAAAGGAGAGGAACAACTGAAAAGAGCATGACTCAAAGCCGACTTCCACCATCTTAATTTCTACAAGACATCGTCGAAACTTGAAATGATCATTTAGGCAATGTCATCTCGGCCTATGAAATAAGTAGAATGTTTTACTTTACTCAGTCTTGTCTTCCTCAGGATCTCCATGGGATAAAACATTGCCACTTTCTGCTGATCTGAGTTCAGAAGGACTCCTAAGATCTTTTGAGGTCAGTAGGGATGGTTTAATGAGTGTTAAAGAATCTTCTTTGTCAAACTCTTCACTTGCATCGTCGGAGTAAGCATATCTGTTATTAAACAAAAGAATAGAAAAATAAAATTTGAAATATATCTTTGGAAACATTACTCACTGCTACCATATGATCACCAGCAGTAACTTTGGGAAATTGACCAACAACATTGAAATTGGACTCGACCAGGCACCCGTCCTATCTGACATTTATGATTTCCACAATTTATGGTGAAGAGGCAATAGTCAAGGTCAATTCCATCAGGAAGTGAGTATAACAATTACTTGCACCTAAAAATAATATAATTTAGTATGCATTCTATTTGCAACTCTGAAAATAATCACAGTGGCAATGCAAACATTAATTACATCATGATAGTTTTACTAGTTTTTAATACTAATGACATAGAACTGGCAACTATAGATTTTGGACTCCAAGATCCTCACTCTCTCTCAACTTCCCCTCCCTAACTTGTCCAATCTAAGTGTTAACTATATAGGGATGGCATTAAATGCCCAAGTGATGGTGCTAGCCTCGGTACAATCAAAACTGGAAATTAAACACAGGCATTCTACAGGTGAGTCAGGCGTTTACCGCATTGAGTTTTGAGATGGAGCCCAAAGAGCACAGATGACACACAGGAGGGAGAAAGACAAGACTTGCCAGAAGGCAGGAATGATCCAAGCGATCTGCCATTGCTCATTGTATATGTCATTTGACTTGAAATAAAGCTGCACGAAACAAAGTCATGTAATGTTTTAAAACATGGAAATATTATGAAATACAAAATACAACATAGTTATCAATTCACCTTGTCCCCGTTGGTCAAGGATTGTTTCTTCCACAACAAGGTCAAGGATGGGTACCTCCCCTGCCCCTCCCCACTCAAAAATAAAATAAAATAAAATAGTAACAATAATTATTAAAAAAAAAAAGATAGGTACCATTTTAAAATAACATTACTATTTTCATATCTATTTGTTGTATCAATTAACTCTTTCAAATCTGTCTTCAACCGATCAATATAACCTGATTTGATCAGAAAACTTGGAAGTTTTGAAGTAGGAAAATGACTGTCACTATAACTTAATTTTTCAACAGAATTTACAAGAAATTCTTGATTTTAACAAAGTTTTTATAAAATATAATCTTACTTCATGCAATCACTGAGGCTGTATAAACCAATTATGAAGAATGTGGTTCTCATCAATTTGTCCAAGTGTAAGAGCCAATTTATATGAACATTTTCCCGGTTCTAGTAGTTGTGCTAGTTGTTACATTAAAAAAATCAGGAATTAAAAACAGGTTGAAGCAATAGGACAGATAATCAGCATAACTTCCAATGATACAAACATTACCTCATAGCAAATCCAGCCCACAGACACAACAACAGCAACAGCTAATGCATTTGTGAACTTTCTGTAAATATCTAGTTTGGCTAGCATTCGTCTAGCCTGAAACATTATGCAACGAACAAGTCAGTTGAGTCAACACTAATTTGTAATTCCACAAATTGGAAAACAGATGCCAGAGAATAGAAAACTCCCATATGGCAAGGGGAATAGAGAGTAAGGAAATGAGACGAATTTGAACACCTGTCCACATTAAGAAAAGGTAAAGAACAAGGAATCGCCATCTTATGCACCATGTTCGGATAGACTCCCACTTTCAGAACAAGATATGCAATCATAGTGGCTGAAAATTTCTTAATTATATTTCACTTTAGCAAGTCACACGTCTCTAAATCGATTAGCTAATTACCCTTGGAGAATCCAAGTCTATATATAAAACAGGAACTGGAGACTAGTACTGGTATTATCCCAATTGACCATTCATTTGCGAATCAAAAATAATCATTGTTGTTTAAACTCCAAAACAAAATTGTTTCTATCCTTACCAGCTCATCTTTACAACAAAAACTTGAAGAGTTAAGTGTTATTCCTAATAAACTCGGGGCCGAATGCATTATTCTTTTTTTCACCAATCACCACTCGATCAATTCAATGCTACTGCTACATTTCTAAAAGTTCCAATTAATTTAAATATTTTGCAAACATGCCAGATATGCTAATTTTGGTTTTCCTCTCTCTTTTAACCAATTTTGCCAATTTTTTTAAATTGGGATCACATTTCTTGCAAATAAAAGTCTCTTTTGTTCTAGGAAACATGTGCTAAATATTCAAGTCACTGTGCCATTAATTTATTTTAAATTGTTCACTTGAAGGCATACATTTGCATTTCTTACTAAGCTTCTGGTATGCCCCCGGTTCATCTTAATTCTGCATTTTTGCTATGGTCATCTCTTGGATATTTTGTTCCTCAACGACGGAAAACTTGGTACCATAAAGCATAACTAGTATAACAGAACTAGCACTGCGACATGTTATGTATTTTTCAATCATATAGAATTCCTATAACACTTCTCTCTTTTGTCCAATCTGCTTTAATTTTATGCATTATATCCTATACAATTCCTCCATATTAAAATCAAACCTAAAAACCTAAAATAATTACTCATCGAGACAATATAATCCCCCAATATATTCTAGGAGGTTAAGCTCACTCACAAACAAAAGTAAAAAGATAAGAACATAAAGGGGAACTTCATTCATAGCCTACCTCAAGAATGCAACAAGGACTTCAAAAGTAACACCTCTAACAACATAAGATGAAAAACACAGCTTATCTATGTGTCCCATTTTGTTTATAGCGAACCCATAAAAACCAAATAAAATGCCAATCTCAAGGAACTCCAGCTTTAATATGTTAAGCCGAAATAAATACACATAAATGAAGAACAAAGTACCTGAAGCTTATTCAAGGTTGAAGAGAGGGAGGTGAATATCCAAAGAATGAAGAAAGCATCCAAAATAGCCACAGGAAGCACGAAAAACAGTCTAGCCTTTCCTGAGAGATCGCTTATGGCACCAACATTTTCGACTAGCTCAAGCACTTCAGATGCAACAAAAAAGGTTGCCCCAAGCATAAGAACTTTTGATGTAAGACCACCTAATGTAGGTCTAACAACACCATAACCCATAGAAACCATCAGGATGATCAGCCAGGAAACAGTGCGTTTCACAGTTCCAAAGGTGACTGCCCATACAGTGATGCCAGTTGGTCTGACTCCAGTTTCATTGAACTCAGCATAATCAAAATACCACAATGCCATCTCAAACATTCCCAATGTTATTACAAGTGTCACACAGTTTTGCAATGGAATAACTTCTTGCCAGTATCTTGCATACTGTGAAAACCAGAAGATCCCCAGAACCACAAATCCAAGAGACATGAACCCATAGAAGTTCATAAGCGGTGCCATTCTACCAGGTAGGTAACCAGTAGGATTTTTCCAGATGGTTTTCCCCTTGACAACAACCTCTTTGAGATTTGGATCGCAATGAATAAAATACAGATTGTACATCCCAGATTTTGTAATCTGTATTAATCTTGGTGGCAGAATAGTCTCCACCTTATCAACATCGAATGATACACCAAATACTTGAGGCCAACCTCGATTATTAGCAGATGGGCGGTGAATGATTTGTCCTTGTGTACAGACTCCAAGTTTTGCAAGATCTGCCGTGCAGCATACAGCTCTTTGACCCCCATAGGCTGAGCCCCCAATAGTCTCTCTATCATCTACCTCAAACACAATTGCATGAATTGACCCTGAGCTAAAATTTGAAAGCTCTCCAGGTCTTTGAAATATAATCTTTTCAAAGCTGGTTTGGAAAAAAGAATTAATGGTCAGTTGCCGCCTTGCTGTTTTAAAGTAGAAGGGCTGACATTATTTAAGAAAACTGAATCACTGAGAACAATAAATATTGAAATGCATGAACTTGGTGTTTCAAAGTAGAAGGGCTGTCATTATTTAAGAAAACCAAAATATGTTTCCATTGTTTTAGACCATTTACTTGCCTGGTATCAACTACTAGTCTAATTTTCTATCTGGTATGGGGAATTCACAACTATTAAGTTAATTCAAGAGGAAATTATTATCTTTCAAAACGTTGGCTATTGACCCCCGAGCTCCAACAAGGCTTGAATTGCAGCATAAAAAAACCGAAAAATAACATTTAAAAATTTTACCTTAGTCCATAGTCAACAATACCAAAAAGAGATGTGAAATGTTTTGCCCTGTTATCCAGAAACACCACAAC